ATTGATGGAGGCTAGATGGCAATTAGTCCTTTATCTTAACTTTATTTCTCCTGGTGGACCGTTTCTGGTGCAATACCAGGCTGATGCATGGAGTGGATGGAGCAAGTTCCTATTCCATCTCCCTGCTCCAAAAATCCATCTGATAAAGTGTCCTCAGATAAAGGATGTATCTCTATTAAACTGGTTGACAATAGATACTATGCCCTGGCAGGGTAGCTCAGTTGGTTAGGTTGCGGATTCCATCCCGGTTGGGGCACATATAAGAATCAACAAATGAATGCATAAGGGACAAATTGATGTTTCTCAAGAAACACAATTATTACACTTGATCTTAGCCAGAAGGCCAAGAAGCCACTCAACTTTGCTTTTAAAAAAAATTACCTCTTACAGTTTGAGAAACTTACCTGAGTGGATGTTACCAAGTCCTGGTGTGTCCTGTAGTTGGAAGTGGAAAAAAAAAAACACACCCTAGATATAGAAAGCCAAGAGATAATAGGATACTCACAGCTAGAGAAAGGGCAAACTTTGTAGGAGGTGGGTGGAACCAATGCCACAATGCTAATTCTGTGCCCTGTCGATGCTAATTCCTAAGAGCATGGTAAACCTTTGCAAGTCCAGTCCACAAGAGACTCATGGTCTTCATAGAGAAGATGTGCCTGCTATATGCCAGGTAAACAAAACCCTTTCTCACAACATACATGTTGTTGGGAAAGAGAGTAAGCACAAGTTCCATTCACAGACTTTTACATCGTACTGCATCCATTTATAAGAGATGATTTCAGATAAGCCTTCCAGGAAGTGTGACATTTGAGCTAAAACCTGGAGGTGACTAGGTGATGAGGAAAAGAAAGCATGTTTAAGGCAACAGCAACTGCATGTGCACAAAAGGAAGAGCACAGTACAGCTGGAGTAAAGACTAAAGACAGGCCTGGCTGGTGTGGCTCAGAGGTTGAGCATTGACCAGGTCACGTGTGATTCCCAGTCAGGGCACATGCTTGGGTTGTGGCTCCATCCCCAGTGTGGGGTGTGCAGGAGGCAGCCGGTCCATGATTCTCTCTCATTGATGTTTCTATCTCTGTCCCTCTCCCTTCCTCTCTGAAATTAAAAAAAAAGACAAGACAGCAGGTGATGCGATGATTTTTGTGTGTGTCGGAAACAGGAATGCAGGGAGGAGGGCTAGGAACTATTTTAGGAGACCAATGTACTGAGGTCAAATGGATATACTTGATAGGATTGGAAGATGGAGGGGAGAGGATCTGCATCTAAGCCTATTGGAAATGCAGGAGGGGGTTAATTACAGATGCCTGTGGGACACCTGGGAAGGTAATAAACTGGACCAGTGGCTTCTCCAGATAAGTTGGGTGTTGGTACTCCTAAGTGGTGGTGGGGACAACAGGTGTGGATGGAGGGTGAGAAACACTACTAGAAAACAATGTGGCAAGAAAACCCTGCAGTGCAGACTGGGTAGGAACCCTGGGAGAGATGGGTGTCTTGGGAGCTGAGGGGCATCTGTGCTTTCCTGGCTTGCTTGTCCATTGTACCTGATGACCAATGAATGTCAGAGGTTGTCCTGTCTCCATCCAGTCAAGTTCTGGGGCAGGTGGCAGGTCCAAGTATGAGGGCCACTGTGAGGTGGAGGTTATTTGACTGAAAAAGACAAACGGGGGCCAGGTTGGCAAACGAGGTCCTTGATCATGAGGACAGCAAAGATGAGATTTGTTCCCATATCCCAGCCAGAAGTTACAGAATGCTGCCCTAACTGGTTTGGCTCGATGATAGAGCATCAGCTTGTGGGCTGAAGGGTCCCAGGTTTGATCCCAATCAAGGGCACATGCCCAGGTTGCGGGCTTGATCCGCAGAAGGGATCGTGCAGGAGGCAACCAATCACTGATTCTCTCATCGATGTTTCTACCTCTTTCTCCCTCTCCCTCTCTGAAATCAATAATCCTATATAATGAAAGAGAATCATGCAAATTAGTCATCCCTTTGCTACACTCAAGCCATGCCCACCAGCCAATTGGAGCAATATGCAAATTAACCCGACAATGATGGCGGCGGCCATGGAGCTGGAGGCTTGGGTTGCCCCAGGTGACCGATGGAGAAAGCCAAGCTTCCTGCCTGCCCTGGCCTCTGGTGAAGGAGTGGCTGGTGGCCTGGATCGCAGGGAGGGGGGTGGGCACCAGGCAGCCAGGGGTGGGGCAGGAACTGCCACATTGCCATGGCAGAAGTTCCCACTCCATAGCCGCTTGCTCATTCACTTACTCGCTCATTCATTCACTTATTTATTCACTCACTCAGCAAACACTCCCAGGTCCCTGGCACCAGGCCAGGCACTGAAGGTAAAACAGGATAAGACAGAGCTATGTCCTCAAGATGTTAGTGATTCAGTAGGGCGAAGCAGGCACATGAACGAGGCAGTTGTACGCACAGACGCACTGTACTGGGTTCGGTGAGGGCTGTAACTAACGCCGACTTTGTTCTCTTGATAAAAATGGGGCTTCAGGAGCCAGGCCACCCCACGCCTGTAGGCCTGCGCCTAGGCCCGGAGCAGCCGAGGTCCCGGAACATGACAGAGGGTGCAGGTTGGGCTGAGGGATCTGCACCCCAATTTCCCCCTGCGCCCCGCACGAATTTCGTGCACTGGGCTACTAATACGTATATATATATATAAAAGTTACAGAGTCTAACAGGTCAAACTCTCAACAAGATTCCCCTCCAGTCTTACCTGGTTGTCCCTTTCCAGCTTCCAGGTGCCGAAGAGCCCTCTTCTGGGTCTGGCACTGCCTGAGACTGAGTTTGATTCAGGAAAAATAAATGTGTCTAGGATGCTTAAGAGTCTACCTAGGCCATGCTCCCACCCTCCAGCAGGAAACAAATTGGCATATGGAGGGTACTGCCCATCTTGCAAACTCCCCTTCTGTCTCCCAGCCCTGCCCACATCTCCACTGATAAGGCCTGCCCCCTAGTGGACAGGTAAGGGAATTCAACCAGAGCAGGTGAAGCACGGAGTCCCTGAGTTTTAGAGCTGAGAGGTGAAAGGCTGGGCCTGGGAGAACCAGGAATCAGTGGATGTGGATACTGCTCTGGCTGCTCCAAGGGGAACCAACCTCTAAGATGGACCGCACCACCTCCTGCCGGCTGTGCTCCACCTCTCGGATCTGAGCTGCCATCTGCGGGAGAAAGGCGCTTAGCTGGGTACAAGATCATGGGGCTGGGTCCCTTCAACTTACCTCTTTGATCGCCGTGTCCTCTTTTTCCTCATAGGAATCCAAACCTTTTACCATGGATTTCTTGAATCTAAAAGGAAAAAGGGCAAGTCAGCCCAGAACTGCAGGCCCTGCCAATTGTGAAAAGATCCTCAGTAGATAATGTTTTCTTTAAATTTTTTTTAAATCTATTGATTTTTACAGAGAGGAAGGAAGAGGGATAGAGAGCTAGAAACATCAATGAGAGAGAAACATCGATCAGCTGCCTCCTGCACGCCCCCTACTGGGGATGTGCCCGCAACCAGGGTACATGCCCTTGGCCGGTATCGAACCTGGGACGAACCTGGGACCTTTCAGTCCGCAGGCCGATGCTCTATCCACTGAGCCAAACCGGTTAGGGCATTTTTCTTTAAATTTTTAGTAATTTCAAACTCACAGAAAGAAAATAGTACAATGAACACCGTGCACTTCTCATCCAGACTCACTGTTAACATTTTTTCATACTGGCTCCACTTCGCTTTTATACACACATTTCTTTTTTGCCAAAGCAAAAATGGATTTTAGACATCATGAGACAACTCTACATACTTCAGCATTCATCTCCTGAGGGCATCTATGGAACCATGAAGCCATTACCACCTTCATGGAATCAATTACTCTGATATTCAAATTATCCCATGTGTGGCTATTGAGACCCTCTTCAAACCAGCCCTTGTCCTCTGGACCACTCCATGGCTCCCCGTGTGCTTTCCCTGCTCCAGCCTGAAATCAACTGTTCTCCAATGGGAGCTGGTTTCTTGCAGCGGAAAGTCATTTAGAAACAAAGATCTGAGTGTTAGTCAAGTTCTTGCTGCTCCACAGGTGTCCCAGCTCTTTCAGAGGGCAGAGCTCCGATTTCCTTAAATAAAAATTCATACTGATAACTCCCAACCAAATCCCTCCACCCTACTGGGCTCTTCCTTCTGCCATACTGAAATCCCCGCTCCCAACAACATCAATGGACCGTTTACTATTGAACAACATGGGGGTTAGGGCCCCAACTCCTGCACAGTTGAAATCCAGGTCTGACTACAGTTGGCCCTCAGCATACGCACTCGCAACTGGGGAGCTGGCTCTTGAACAACATGGGTTTGATCTGTGCTGGTCCACTGAAAACGTGTGTAAGTGGACCCATGCAGTCCAAACCCATGTTCAAGGGTAAACTATTTAAAGTTACTTTATCCTACAACACACACACACAAAAGTATCAGAACACCAATATCACTATTAACGGTAAAACTACTAAGCACAGCTCAAGATTTCTTTTCAGTTCTTTAGTCCTTAGAAAATATCCTTCTAAGATGTACAGTCAGAAAGTTGTGTACAAAAGTTATTTGAGCCCTAGTCGGTTTGTTTCAGTGGATAGTCCCACCTGTGGACTGAAGGGTCCCAGGTTCGATTCCGAGCAAGGGCATATGCCCAGGTTGTGGGCTCAATCCTCAGTAGGGGGTGTGCAGGAGGAGCCAATCAATGATTCTCATCATTGTTTCTATCTCTCCCTCTCCTTTCTCTCTGAAATCAATAAAATATGTATTTTTTAAAAGTTACTTGAATTCTTATTCTTTTGTGATTGTTATCAATTTGATTTATAATTAGGGAAATTTGTCTTTGCAATAAACTTTAGGATCTGTTTTCTAACTGGAAAAAAAAAATTTAAATCCTCACCCAAGTATACTTTTTCCATTGATTTCTAGAGAGTGGAAGGGAGGGAGGAGGGAGACAAAAACATCAAAGTGAGAGAGACACATTAGAC